GGAAAGACCTTCTTTATTTCTGTCTCAATCTTGTTCCTCCTTCTCTCCCTTTCCTTCAGGATGAGAGCTCTCCTATGTGGTACATGGTTACCAGGATTCCACATTTGTTTCTCCGTAAGCCATATCATATAGAAACAAATATATATGGATAAAAAACATTGGAACAGTGAGAAAAAGAGCCTCTTTGCTTTACTTCATATTTCAGGTATTTCATCACAGCAGAGAAATTTCACTCACACAAAACCTTTGTGAATTCATGTCTGTGATCATGTTTTATTATATGTTTTAGAAAGCACATATACCTGCAAGCATGCCTTTTTGTTATCTGATTCCTAAGCTCTATCCAAAGTCTCCCATATTTGCTTTCAATGTAAAGGGAAATCCCAACCATGTGGTCATTTGTGCCACAAAATGGTGGTGCGGTAGGTGCAAAAAAAAAAATAGTGACTTTTTAAACATATCAGTACTCATAAATTAGGATTCCAATGATATTTCCAGGTAATTTTCACAATATTTATCATAATATTTCTAATACAACATACAATCTCTAATAAAAAGGTCATGTAAATTATTTGATAAATCCCCAAGGAACAGATCGCTGGAAAAAAAAACAGTTCACTGATTTACCCAAATTTGAAAGGATATCCTGTATTAGCCTTCACTTATCAGCTGAAGTAAAGTATGAGAGTTCCTATTTGGAGAACATAATATTTTTATACAATTTCCATATTACATCATTAAACATATGCTTTACTTATTAAAAAAATCAACTTATATTCATTTTTGACAGTTTTAAAATGAATTCAATAGAATCATATCAAAACACAAATTAAGAGAAATAAAGAAACAGGATTTGTTTAAATTAATAGAAAATTTGGATGCCATTACACACCATTTCCAAAGAACAACACTAAAATTCTAATATATTGATGATGAACATGCAAATGTATAACATTTTGCAAATTATCTTTCTCTTTTCTGTCTTCATTTAGTTTTTGTACATAAATTGTATTAACCAATTGCAACAGTACCTACTAAAATATTTATCCACAATTCAATGAACTTGCCATGCATTCATCTCATTAGTGGTCAAATCAGAATATACTTCATTTCAGGTATTTAGCATTGAATGTTTTGACTTAGCAGAGGAATGAAGACCATCACTCCTATTTTACACTGAAGGACGTTCTTAGTGCTACTCAATAAAAAAATGCAAAACAACGATTTGATGTCATCCGTGAAATTGGGATGAGGAATTAACAATTAATAGAGCAACTGATACTAATGATGCCTTGAGAATGAACCATGTATTCAACTCTCTTGAAGCAAATATTACAACCAATTGTCACATGATCCCTTGAAAGCAAAACAGATTGAATTTATTCCCATATTAAACTAACAAATAATGTAGTCTTCAGAAAGATACAGTATTGGGAATAAAACTAAGTTTCATGTAGATATGATTCTACCTGCCCATATCAATATACATTTTTGAATAAATATAATGATGTACAATAATCTCTTACAAAGTAGCTCATTTCTTTTTCATCATTAATAATTTGGCTTGGCACAGAATGTCTTCAATATTTATCATAATCTGCCATTTTCAAAGACCTAGGCTAATGTAAGAGGACAGTGCAACATTAAATTCACAGATCTTGTATGATTTTTAAATTTTTCTCTAATAGTTACTATGTTTTACCACATCATGTAATACTGCAAACATCTAAGCATTGTGTATATTCAGAATTAAATTAATGTACTTGGTAGATTAGGCTCCTCCCTGAGCCATTAGAAATGATTGGTTTCTAATACTCATGATTCTCCTTTCCTTAACTATAGTAGAAATTTGCCAAACAATACATCACACTAAAATGCATTCTTACAGGCAGGGCATGGTGGTGCATGCCTTTAATCCCAGCACTTAGGAGGCAGACTCAGGTGGCCTTCTATGGCAATATGGCCAGCCTGTATTACATAGATAGTTCTAGGCCAGTTGGGGCTTCACGGAGACCCTGTCTCAAAAAGACCAAAAGAAAACAAGAACAAAATAAACCAAAAGGCAATATTTGCTATAAATTTCATAATAATCTTTATAAATCAGAAAATATGAATTTAGCTTAGGGTCAAACTAGCCTACAGAGCCAATCCTTCAAAATGCTCCATTTTTGGGATACAAATGTTTCTAAACAAAAGTCATGTCTATCAAAATATCATATACCAGCACATGGAATTATAGAAATAATTGATATTCATTTATATATATAATACTCTAGTATATTATGAACACTGTACAGTGTCCTGGACTTTTTATTACCGATTTTCCATGGTTAAAAAGATTTGATATTTGGATATTGTTCCCCCTTTCTTGTATAAATTAAGAGACTTCTACTTCATACTCTATGATTTTTCAAGTTGCATATATGAATGAATATTTTCACATATTTGGGTACTACTTACAGAATACATGGTTACTCCTTAATACTTATGTGTTTTATTCACCCTGTGTGTTCTTTGATAGTCAATAAAGAGATATCAATCATGGAATTTGGGGATGCTCCTGATCACTATGAAATTCCCCATGCTTCCTAAGACAGGAGTCATTATTAAAGGGTGGCAGACATTTTTTTTTTTAAGTATTAGTGTCTCTCTAACATAAGGATTCTGTGATATTCCACAAGATTAAAAGGAAAAGCAAAGACTTCCTCACATTTTTATTTCAGTTTATCCCAAATGCGAACTGTTTTTTATTAAATTAGAATAAATTTTTATTAGCGATTTAAAATTTTTGTATTAAATTCGGTTTTTCTTCAATATACTATGGAGTTTTGTAATATATAAAAATAAATGTGTCACCTTTCCCATACTTTTAAACATATCCCTCTAGTACAAATTGTTTTCTAAGATTGAGCGCAAAGGGTTTACCACATTCTGCACATATAAGTTGCCTTTGCATTAGGAAGTTTTGATAACTGCTACCATTTCACATATGATTAAAGGAATTTCCAAATCATATATATGTGTATTTTATATATATATATATCTGCCTCTCTTTATTATAAATACGTTAGTGTCTCTAAGAGTTGCTAGACCAATAAAGGATGACTCATACCTTTTTTTATTTGTAGGGTTTCTCTTCAGTATGAATTCTCTGATGTTCCCCATGTCCTGAGTTTGCAGTAAAGTTTCTTTCTGGTATGAATTCTATAATATTTCTTAAGACTTGAACTCTCAATAAAGGACCAGCCACATTCATCATATTTCTAGGGTTTCTATCCCATATGCATTAGCTGATATAATCTAAATATTGACATATGAGTAAATATCTTGTCATATTTTTCACATTGTATGGTTTCTCCCCAGCATGTATTTATTGATGTACTCTAAGAATGGATTTTTTTTTAATTAAAGGACTTGTCACATACTGCACATTTGTAGGGTTTTTTCTCCAGTATGAATTCTGTAATGGTTCCTAAGTGTTGAGCTCTCTGTAAAGGACTTGTCACATTCTTCACATTTCTAGGGGTTCTCTCAGGTATGTATTCACTAATGTAATCTAAGTCTTGCTATTTTCTTGAATGACTTGTCACATTCTTCACATTTGTAGGGTTTCTCCCCAATATGACTTCACTGATGTAATCTTAATGCTGATATTTGCCTAAAGGGCTTGTCACATTTTTCACAACTGTAGAGTTTGTTTCGAGTATGTATTCACTGATGTAATTGAAAATTTGACAGTCATGTAAAGGACTTATCATATTTTTCACATTTGTAGGGCTTCTCTCCAGTATGTTTTCACTGATGTATTCTAAGTCAATATTTCCTTAAAGGATTTTTTGCATTTGTATAACATCCCCCAAAACTTGAACAGTGGGTCAAACTTCTTGATTCATGGTGTCAGTAATTAAACTCCCTCTCCTCACCTGATTTTTGCTGTTGTTCCCTGATTATTTCCTTAACAATATAATGGAGGAACACAAGGAAGGACGTGATCCCCTTGGCAATGGAGTAGTGATTAAAGAAAGACATCCTCTCCCACTATAAATTTCAGGGAGGATCTGCTTATTCTCTCTCATTCTTTTTACTTAATCTGTGTTGATGGGGTCCAGAGTAAAATCTCCTTCAGACAAGCAAAATGGACAATGTCCACATTTAAAATTTGACAAATTCTATTTTAGGAGGTTTCCTACAGTTTTGAATTTCCAATATATATGATACAGGGATAATAAGATGCTGTATATTTATAGATTCCCCAGTATGGACTCAGTGAATACTTTTAGCAGAATAATTGAAGGTTTTATTGCATACTTCATGCTTTTAAGTTTCTTCTCAGTTTGGATTGATTTAAAGATTTTACAAGGCTGTGTTACATTTGTAGGACTTTTCTTCAGTATAAATTTGGGAGTGTTTTCTTAGTTTTAAACATTCATTAAAGTCTTTCACAAATTACTTAGGTTCATAACATTTCATTCTAGTATTGATTCTGCTTTGATTTGTAAGGGCATTACATAAGCTGAAGAAATTGTCATGAATTTTAAAATCTGATCAAAGTTTTTCACTCTGTGTGAAGGATTTCTCACATTGCTTGTATTTCTGTTTACTCTCCTTATGTTAAGGTTCAGATAGCCCTGCCCCCTCACCAACAGGGTCTCAAGGACTTCTCAAGCTCCTGAGAAAAGTGAACTGAGCTGATAAGCACCTTGGTTCTTTGAAATCAAGAGAAGCAGACTTTTCTTCATTGTTTGGCCAACACAGCAGGCTTCCCTTTTAACCTCTAGTCCCACTCCACTTCCCCCCACCCAACTTTAAAAAATATATTATCTTCCCACCTTCTGCAGGAAGCAGAAGCCTCCCCCTTATAAGGTTCCAGATTACGACCTGGGGCAGACATTTTCCCTGCCCAGAAGGGAATCTGTCTCATGTGTTCCTTTACTAATAAACTCTTCTTTCTCCTGATCAACCCTATTCATCATATGGCTACTTTTTATCGATCACCTTACATTTGTAAGGATTTCCCCAGTGTGGATTCTGTAATGCCTTTTCATGGCTGACAGCCACTTAAAGGATTTGTCACACTCTTTCCATTTGTAGGGTTTCTTTCCAGAATGAGTTCTCTGATGTGATTTAAGATTTGCGCTTTTGGAAAAGGATTTATTATATTCGTTACATCTGTAACCTTTCTAACATGGATTTTGTGATGGTCTTTAATTTTTGCAGCCAACTTAAAGGACTTGCCACTCTCTTGTCATTTGTAGAGTTTCTCTCCACTATGAATTATCTGATGTCTTCTAAAAGTTGACACAAAGGTGAAAGATTTGTCACAGTCATTGCACTGATAAGAGTTCTCTCCAACATGGATCTTTTGATGCTTTTTAATACCCAACAATTACTTAAAGGACTTGCCATACTCTTCGCATTTTTAAGGTTTCTCTTCAGTATGAATGTTTTTATGTGACTTAAGATTTGACAACCAAAGGTTTTGTCACATTCCTTACATTGGTATGGTTTCAATCCATTATGAATTCTCCAATGTGACTTAATATATGAACATGAGACAAAGGATTTGTCACATTCCTTACATGTGTAAGGTCTCTCTAGTATGAATTTTCTGATGTTTTCTGAGACGAGCAAAAAGTAAAGCGTTTGGCACATTTCATGACATTTGTAAGGCTTCTCACCAGTGTGGATTTTGTAATGGTATCTAAGGTAGAACAAATGATGAAAGGACATTCTACATTCTGTATTTGTGAAGTTTCTCTCCATAAACATTTTTGTAATGGCTTTTAAATATTGAGAAATGATGAATGGAATTGTCACATTCTTTAAATTCATAGAATTTCTCTCCAGTATGAGTTTTCCGATGTTCATCAGGGTTTGAGCATTTTTCACATTTCTTATATTTATGTTGCTTCTCTTCACTAAGGATGCTTTGTTGGACCACTTTGTAAGTAGAGGCAAAAGATGTATCACTTTCTTTACATTCATCTTTCTTTCTAGATTTGATTCTAAGATTGACTAATATTGGAAAAGAAATTTAAAGATTCATCACAGTCTTTATATTTGCAAAGTTCTTTTCCAGTGTGCAATCTATTATGTTCCTTTAGGTTCAATGGTGCAACTGAGGCATTTCTGTATTTAGCACATCTGAATTTGTCAGAGTTTTCAGTCATTATGTATTTTATCAAATGTACATTGGGAAAACAAATGAAATATTTGTCCAAGGACATTACATTTATAAGACTTCTTATCAATATTCAGAAGCTGTTGGAAAATATCCTGTGAACACTGATCCAAGACTTTCTGGACTTTCTTCTTTTTATCACATGTGCAAAGTTTCTCTACAAAATGAATTCAATTAGAATCAATAGGGCTTAATCCATCAATAAACAGAATCCATAATGCATTTTCTTATGTGTTCTCTGAGATAAGTACACTGTTAATTAATTATAATAGAGATGCCATTCATTTTATCATTCACCACAACTGTGTAAATTCTCACAAAACCTACCATCTTAAGGATTTGTAACAGCCTTCTCGTTCCCATGTAAATTGTGCAGTTCAGCACAACATGGAAATGATATTTGATGAAACAATCCTGGACCAAGGAAAAAGGAATTCTAATTCAATATATTTAGAATTTCATTCCCTTATAAATCTTTTTTTCAGAAATGACAAAGGACAGTATAATCTAGTATTACATAAAAAATACACTTTTTTTTTGGAAATGAACATCACTGTTCAGAGTATTCAAATTTCATTTAAGAGTAAAGTCTTGTTAAAAACTTTATGAGATCTTTGCTTAATGATACATGAGACTATTAAAAACATGAATGTAAATTAAGTAATTTGATGATCATGAAATACTTTATATTATTTGAGGCAGGAACATTGTGGGAAATGCTGCACACTGCTGATTTCTAAACCTATATTGTCTGAACTATATGAACTTACCACTATATTTTTTGTCTTTCCATAAAGGGAAATCAATTACACAGTTTTCATGGGTTCCTGACATTATTTTCTGTAATATGCTTTGTTCATTCTCCCATTGGAAAAGGGGTTGGCTGTAATCAGAAGATAAATCTGCAAGAAAGGAAATTGAAGATTTACTCAATTTCATGGGCTCAGGTAAGATATCATAAATGATATATAATAGTATATTAAATTGACATCATTAGGAAAGAGACAACATAGATAACTTTGTGTCTTCAGGCCAAAATAAAGTATTTAAACTGAAACAAAATTTACCAAACTTTATTCTCTGAGGTGTATAAATGAGTTATGATTTTGAATTTATACAGAAGACCCCTACAGCAAAATTACACTTATAAAGAATTAAATATTTTTTCCGTATTTGTGAAACAAACAAACAAACAAACAAACAAAAAGCCTTCTTCTTAGCAAACAGGATAGATAGTGATGGAGAGACTCAGAGACAAGGTCCAGTGTGTTACAAAGCTACCAAATACTGAGTCTCATATCTACATAAAGAGGGAACTCCAATTAAGTGGGTGATCAAATCAAAATGGAGATCAGGAAAACTAAACCTATTTATGAGAGATGTTTATTGAAGCAAAAGAAAATCTTCATCACTGTTTGTCAAACAAGCAGAGGACTAGTTGTCAAAAAACAAAAATTATCTGTGCAAGCTAGGCATGGTGATGCATGCCTTTAGTCCCAGCACTCATGAAGCAGAGGCAGGAGGATCTCTGTGAGTTCAAGGCCAGCCTGGTCTATATAGAGAGTTCCAGGCCAGCTGGAGGTACAAGGAGACCCAATCTCAAAAACACAAAGAAAAAAATCTGTGCAAAGAAATGGAAATAATTACAAGAATTAAAGAGGAGGCAGACAGTAATTTAATTTTTAAAAGACATTGTCTCCCTGTATAGCCCATGCTGGCCTGGAATATATTGTATAGACCACTGTGACCTTGAATTCATAAATATACCCCTGTCTTGCCTTTGCCAGGAATAAAAGCTTGAGCCACAATGTCCAGGACTCAGGCAAACCTAAATTTGTTCTAATACATAATTCATCCTTGATAAATTCATTGGCAGCTCTTGATGACGTAAAGAAATGAAAAGCAGAATAAACCAATAACTCAAAACATTAAACACAAATAATAATCCCTTATCACATGAGCAATGAGTGGAAGAAAACATTCTCAAAGGAGAATTACTCACCAAAAATATAATACAGAAATGTGCTACATTTGGAATCATAAAGAAATCCAAATCTAAGTGGCACTGAGATTCCAACACTTTGTAGGTAGAAGGTCAATTCAGTAGGTAACAAATACAAGCGAACTCCAGAAACAACAGAGTCAGAAGAAGAATGAAGACTCCCTGTTGGGGGGGAGTCCAGTTTCTTGAAGCCACAATGTAAATCAGCATGGACTTCATAAAATCATGTGAAAATGATACAGCACAATCTCAAATATAGCTTCTGTATGGAATTATTTTATAACAAATTGAAATAGACAATTTTAATATTCTGGTGGCTTTTACAATCACAGTGGTACAAAAAATGTCAAGCACATACTGAAAAGAAATTTATAAGGGATGAAAATACATTATAAATATAAATACGTGTATTTATTAATATAACAGAGAAAAACTAACAAAATGGTAATAGTGTGTTCTTTTCTTTCAGTGATCAATTACATTATTAAAGGACAATATTCCCTAAGAAAAAGGCACAAATATGCTTCCAGAATATAAAAAAAGAAAAAGAAGATTACACTGCATACTCTTTACAAAGAATTCACATCAATGGGCATGGTGGCACACACCTTTAATCCAATCACATGGGAAACAGAGGCAGGCAGATCTTACTGAGTTCAAGGCCAGTCTGTTCTACATATCAGGTTCAGGGCCAGCTGGGGATACAGGGTGAACATGTGTGGAAAAAGACAATAATAAATAAATAAATAAATAAGTAAGTAAATAAGTAAATAAATAATAGAATTCACATCAACTCTAAGGACAAAAATATTTAAGAATGTAGGCATTTTAAAAAGGTACCTCTTGAATATGTACAGTAAGAAGGAACTGGGGTGAACATAACTGGGAATTCAAGGAAAAGTTATTGAAATTAAAATAAAGAATATTTACATGCTAAAATAATCTAATAATAGCTTCCAAATACATGAAGCAATAATTGAAATGATTGGAAGAAGAAAATGCATGAGACTAGAATATGTCAGTCTTCATTGGATGATGTAGACAGAATATTAATAAACATCACATAAGACATGACATAAGAAACCCCTGCTATCCCTAACAGCCTTACAGAGAGTCATTCATATATCAGTTAAAGGAATCGGTCTTGTCAAAATTCAAGAAACACCTGGTGGATTGTGTCTTACTACTTGTATGATTCTTAGAAATTAAATATAGTCACCTAAAGATTCTCTTTTATGATAAAACTTGAAAGCAGACAGCCAACAGAAGAATCCAGGGGTGAGTAGTGGAAATTGGCAGACTGTTGGCATGACCTTATTCAAAGACTGGAAAATAATACAAAGGAGTTTCATACTCTGAAAACATTCTAATAATGCCCTTAAATTCTACCATTTTTTGGTCAGAAATAGCAAAAGTAATTCTATTAAAATGTAAAATCTCCAGAAATCACAAACATTTAAAAATCCTGAGGGAAGTCAATCCAGAAGCAACATATCTAATAGCATAATAAAATTATAGTAATGGAAAGCTTTACTATTTGTTTGAAGACAGATCATTGGAGATATTAATGGTATCAGGACATAATTCCACATTGGCATAGTTAAAATTTCATTTGCATATCTGTATTAATGCTAACATTATTCCAGTGCAGTAAGGGACAAAGTCTTCTAACATTTACAATGGGACATTTCTTGAGAGGACACTATGGTAGGTCAAATTCTCAAGAATTGTTTCTAGTGAAACAGAGCACATCAACGCCATTTCTAGATCTTCCTTTCTTTTTGAGTTGAACTTCTCCCTTTGGATCTGCCACACTCACTCAAACCCACTTTGTTGTTTGGCTGCTGTCTTCACTTTCTTAACATTCCAGGGTATTTTGATTCTTCCAGACACCTGGCCAAGTCTGAATTCAACACAATTATACCTGTGTATTTGTAAGTGGTACAGGACAGGAAATATAGAGATGGCTCAGCAGTTACGAGCACTGGCTGCTTTTGCAGAAGACCCAGGCTCAATTCCCAGCATCTACATGGTAGCTAATAACCATCCATAACTCCAGTTCCAGGGTCTCTGACACCATCTTCTGACATCTATGGGCTTTCCCCAACAGGGGTGCACTTACATACATGCAGGCAATACACTCATACACATAAAATAAAAATAATAAATAAAATATTTTTTTAAAAGAGCCAGGCATGCTGGCACAAGCCTTTCATCACAGGAGTCAGAGGCCAGAGGCAGGCAGATCTCTGTGAGTTCAAGGCCAGCATGGTCTACAGAGTATCAGGCCAGCTGGGGATACAAGGAGACCCTGTCTCAGAAAAAGTTTTTTCTTAAAAAAAGTGGTGCAGGATAAGTGCTGGACTCACTGAAAAGGACATGTAGTACTGTGCTCAGTAAAGAGACAACATAACTGAAGAATGTAAAAGTCACTTCAATTGTTATTTGCTTACAGAACTTCAAAAATATTTGGAGGGAATTTTCTCTACATATATTGAGTTCTTTTAATATAGCTATGTTAAATCAAGGATGAAAATAGAACTGTAA